CCAGGAGGGGGAACCTCGTCGACGTAAGTGCCTATGGACTTCCAGGATGCCATCTCTGCGTCTATGGCTGTCTGCCACTGAGAGGAGTAGGGACCTGTTATTACTTCTACGTAAGAGCGCGGGGTCGGGATGTCCAGTGCATCTGGGTCTCCCTCAGGTGCAAGGAGTTGCATGCTGATCCGAGTGAGAAAGTGAGGTGGTCGAAGCTGCGTGAGGAGGTTCGAGCTATGAATATTGCGTTGACACGTGCTGCTTACCTGAGATGGGACAAGCAGAGCAAGGAGGCATCATGGGCCATGGAGATTGAAGCGGCCATTGAAGCCGCCCTTCGTACCTGCTTCTTGCCCAAGCATCCTAATACTGTGGCGAGTCTGACTTGCAAAATTGTGCCTCCTGCATCTGCAGCAGCAGCGGCTGTAGCAGTGTCCGCAGCACCAGCTGCTCCCTCGCCCACACCAAAAACAGCAGTGAAATCACCTGCTGCGGCATCATCAGTAAGAGAAGCAGCAGCAGCAGCAGCACAGAAGCCAAAGCCTGCTGTTGCAGCAAGGTGCAAGGTGGGGGTTGAAAGCGCCAAGGGCAAGAATGGGTGCAGCAGCAAGGTGGTGAGCATGGGTGTGAAGGGTGGTAAGGGCGACAACACCCATGCAAGCTCTGCCCTATGTGCAGCAGCAGTAGTTGTGGGATCACGTGGTGGTGCATCATCAGTGAGAGCAGCTGGCAAGGCCAGCAGCAGGCTGACGAGTGGGGTGAAGAGGAGAGAGGAGGGTGGGTGTGGGGAGGGAGCAGCAGGGAGGGCAGCAGGTGGAAGGCAGGGTGGTGTGAAGGCAGCAGGTGGCAGAGCAGTGGCAAGTGGCGTGTGTGGCAGGGAGGGGGTGAAGCAGCAGGCGGGGAGGAGAGAGGGTTTGGTGCATGAGAGGCAGGCGAGGCCAGGCTGCAGCAGCAGCAGGGCGCACAGAAGGAGCTCCTGAAAGAGCCGGCATACCAATGCCTGCTCTGAACACGGGCTGTGCATCCATGGGTACAACAGTGAAGGGTGTTCTGAAACAATGGTGACAATAAGCCAACTCCCAGCTGCTGTTGGGAATACTTGGGATATGTGCATACTAGCTTATACACTGTATATTGCGAGGATATGTTCATAGCTTCGCATTATGAGAAGTACTTGTATCCCGCAAGTATATTGCATTACACATAAAACTTATTAATTGTACTTTCATATCACTAGAGGACATGCACTAAATGTACGGAAGAGTGCAGCACTTTTCTAGAGCACAGGAGGATCGTTCTAACCTGCAAGTTTTTCCGTGTGGAAGGAATGATATGCTTGCATGGAAGGATCATGATACGGTAGCATGGAAGGATGATGATGCGCTGGTTTTTATTCAAAGGAATCTTTCCTGTACAAGTGGGGCAGGAGCAGCATACAGCAGAGATCTCGGAGGAACATGAAGTTATCATAGAAGATAGATGGTGTAACAATGGTCAACTCCAATCTGCTTCTGAGAATACATCATGTATTAAATACGATGGTACATGGACCTCCACAGCATGCTTGCAAGGGGGGGGTTACATGGGTACTCGTGGGCATGGTATTTGGGTACATGGGTGTAGGGGTACACTGTACGTGGACATATGGGTGCTTGTGCATGGGGACGTGGGCGCATGGATGCATGAGCGCATAGGTACATGGGTTCATGAGTGCCTGGGAGTGCATGGGTGCGTGGGTATGTGGGTTCGTGTGCAAAGTTTTGTGGGTGCATGGGTGCACGAGTGCATGGATCTGTGAGTGAGTAGCTATGTGGGTGCATGGGTATGCGGGTGTCTGGGTATATAGGTGCATGCATGGATATGGGTTCACGGCCATCCAGCAGACGCAAGATACTGAGAGGAATGACGAGGGTCAGAGCAAGAAAATCTCCAATGGGGAGGTGAAGAAATCTCAAATGGGGAGGTGAAGAAATCTGAAATTGGGAGGTGAAGAAATCTCAAATGGGGAGGTGAAGAAATCTCAAATGGGGAGGTGAAGAAATCTCAAATGGGGAGGTGAAGAAATCTGAAATGGGGAGGTGAAGAAATCTCAAATGGGGAGGTGAAGAAATCTCAAATGGGGAGGTGAAGAAATCTGAAATGGGGAGGTGAAGAAATCTCAAATGGGGAGGTGAAGAAATCTCAAATGGGGAGGTGAAGAAATTTCAAATGGGGAGGTGAAGAAATCTCAAATGGGGAGGTGAAGAAATCTCAAATGGGGAGGTGAAGAAATCTCAAATGGGGAGGTGAAGAAATCTCTAGCAGATGCAAGTTGCTGAGTATTGCTGCAGTGAAGAAATCTCAATTGGGGAAGTGAAGAAATCTCAAATGGGGAGGTGAAGAAATCTCAAATGGGGAGGTGAAGAAATCTCAAATGGGGAGGTGAAACAAGTGCGAGAGGAGTATGGAGAGTGGGGTCGGGAGAAGGGAGAGAAGGCGAGAGGGTGGGTGAAGGAAAGCAGAGGAGGAGGGAAGGGGGTTGAAATGCTCGGAAAGAGAGAGTGTGGTGATGTTAACCAGCTGTCTTGTAGGTGACAAGTGAGGGAGCAACTGAGGTAGCAAGCAGGCAGCAAGTTGCGAGTGAGATGACACGTGAGGTGGCAAGTTCGACGGAAACAGGGACGGATGGGATGGGGAGGAAACTTTGCAATGGGTTAGGATGGGATGGGATGGGATGGGATGGGATGAGATGGGATGGCGTGGGATGGCATGGGATGGCATGGCATGGGATGGGATGGGATGGGATGGGATGGGATGGGATGGGATGAGATGGGATGGGATGGGATGGGATGGGATGGGATGGGATGGGATGGGATGGGATGGGATGGGATGGGATGGGATGGGATGGGATGGGATGGGATGGGCTGGGCTGTGATGGGATGAGATGGGATGGGATGGGATGGGATGGGATGAGATGGGATGGGATGGGATGGAATGGGATGGGATGGGATGGGATGGGATGGGATGGGATAGGATGAGATAGGATGTGATGGGATGGAATGGGATGGGATAGGATGGGATGAGATGGGATGGGATGGGATGGGATGGGATGAGATGGGATGGCGTGGGATGGCATGGGATGGGATGGCATGGCATGGCATGGGATGGGATGGGATGGGATGGGATGGGATGGGATGGGCTGGGCTGTGATGGGATGAGATGGGATGGGACGGGATGAGATGGGATGAGATGGGATGGGATGGGATGGGATGGGATGGGATGGGATGGGATGGGATGGGATGGGATGGGATGAGATAGGATGTGATGGGATGGGATGGGATGGGATGGGATGGGATGAGATGGGATGGGATGGGATGGGATGGGATGAGATGGGATGGGATGGGATGGGATGGGATGGGATGGGATGAGATGGGATGGCGTGGGATGGCATGGGATGGCATGGCATGGCATGGGATGGGATGGGATGGGATGGGATGGGATGGGATGGGATGGGATGGGATGGGATGGGATGGGATGGGATGGGATGGGATGGGATGGGATGGGATGCGATGGGATGAGATGGGATGGGATGGGATGGGATGAGATGGGATGGGATGGGATGGGATGGGATGGGATGGGATGGGATGGGATGGGATGGGATGGGATGGGATGGGATGGGATGGGATGGGATGGGTTTGGGATAGGATGGGATGGGATGGGATGGGTTTGGAATAGGATGGGATGGGATGGGATGGGATGGGAAAGTGTGTGTGATTGCTTGGAATGGTATGTGAGTGATATGGCATGAGGCGTGTGTGATGGTATGGGGATGGTATGCGTGGGTTATATGGGTTGGTGCGTGTGAGTGATATGGCATGAAATTGGCGGTGTGATGGTATGGGATGGCGTGTGAGTGAGGTCTCATGGCACGAGGTGGGGGAATGTGATGGTATATGATTGTATGTGATGGTATGTGAGGGGATATGATTGTATGTGATGGTATGTGATGGTATATGATTGTATGTGATGGTTTGTGATGGTATTTGATGGTATGTGACTGTATGTGATGGTATGTGATGGTATGGGAGTGGTTGGCATGAATTGGGCTGTGTCATAACACAGGACGTTGTGATTATACGAAATGGTCGAATTGGTGGCGCGTATGAGCTGGCATGATATGGGCTGTGAGATGGTATATTGTGTTTCTGAGTAAGATGGCATGATATGGGCTGAATGAGGGCATGGCATGGTGCGTGTGAGTCCGGTCGCATGGAATGCTCTGTGCGTGATGGCATGGGATGTTGAGTGACTGATATGGCTTGACATCGGCTGTATGATTGTATGGCAATTGTGTCAGTGTAGTGGTATGGCATGACTGTGTGCTTACATGCGACGGTGTGATTAACACAGCCGGATGTGGGCAATGATGCCAGCTGTTTTTTCCCTCCGGTCGTCAACTTATGCCATAGTTAGAATTTTCCGGTGTGTGATTGTAAGAGGGCATCAAGTCGTGTGAGTGTGTCCGATGGTATGAAATGCTCTGCCTTTGATGGCATGGGATGGTGAGTTGGTGATACGGCATGACATCCGCTGTATGATGGTATGGGAAGGTGTGCGAGTGTAACGGAACGGTTTGACTGTATGCTGTTTGTGACTGATATAGCCGCATCTAGAAAGTGATGCCCAACCGTTTTATGCCCTCATGTCGCCAAACTAGGTCATAACTTGATCTTTCCGTGTGTGGTGCATGAGAATTATTCGCACGGAGGGTGTGATACGATTAGGTGGTAGGTGTGATGTCACGGGGTTACATGAGATGGGATGGGGAGATGTGTGCGATTGCATGCAGTGGTGTGACTGCTTGCCTGTATCACCATACTGCCAACCATCTGAACACTCACCAAGAACTTAAATCGTCCAGCGCTCAGGTATTAATTGTGTCAAATAAAAGTGTGTTCGACTAAATTGATTGTTTACATGATAAAAAACAGAAACTTACGGTATTATATATACAGATGCTGTAAGATGCTCTACTCGTCGTCGTTAATGAACTTCCCTGTACCGGGGTTGATAGCGGCGACGAAGAAGAAGGCGATACTGGCGAGCAGCAGCGGCTCCAGCTCCCACACGGGCAAGCCAGTCTCGATATTCAGCTGCGCCAGCGCGCCTCGCCCGCTGATCACCTCGCCCACGAGGCTCGCCGCAAATCCCAATTGCGCCATGCGCCCCACGAACAGCTCGTTCGCCTTGGTAAACCCGAACAGCGGCCCCTCCTCGCTCAACCCCAGCGCCGCCTTGAAGCTCCCCGGCTTCACCGGCGGACCCGCCGGCGCGTCGTCGTCCACGAATCGCCCGCGGTCGCCCAGCCCGCCGATGGCGCCGAGCACGGTGAATGCGATGAAGAAGAGCAGCAGCGGCTCGGCTTCCGTGATGGGGATGCCCGTCTCCAGGTTCAGTTGCGAAAGGATTCCCTGCCCGGTCACCGCTTCGCCCAGCAGCGACGCCGCGAATCCGAGCATCGCCACGCGGCCCACGAAGAGCTCGTTGGCTTTCGTGAAGCCGAAGCCGCCGGATGTGCCGAAGATGCCGTCCTCGGTACGCAGCTGTTTCTTAGTAGGGGCGGTCTTAGCGGGGCCAGCAGCTTTGTTGAAGCCTAGGAGGGCGGTGACGCCTAGTCCGCGGGGAGCGACGGCGGGAAGTACTGTAAGGCGATTTGCGGAGAGAGAAGCGCCCTTCACTGCTGTGTTGAACGAAAGAGTGGCGAGCGATTGGTGTGCGACGAGGGAGGAAGCCATTGTGATAAGATCGAGAAATTACGGCAGGGGATGTACGATAGATGCGAAGAAAGTAGGGATACGAGAAAATTGATAGAGACTTTAGGAAAGCATGTGTATTTGTATCAGATTGCCGAACCGCGAATTGGAATTGACTATTCCGTAGGACGGGAGCTCGACACTAGAAATGCAACAGAAATTCATCGTGAGACGTGGCTGCCTGAACGAGGCACGACGATGGATGCTTTGCCTCAGTGTGCTCCATTGCTGGGACGAAATCCATCCGCGTGGCTCCAATAACTGCCACCAATGTCAGCACGTCAGATCTCCGAAAGGTAGGGTTGAAAGGATCTGACGTGGCTTCTGGAACCTTTTGCGACCATCGAGAACTGACTGCAGAGTGTGGTTGGCATTGACCATCTGTGACTTGATTTGCTGGACGGAATGGGATGAGGGTTTCGGACATGTTTCTAGTTTCACTACTTGTGTTTAGAAGGTGCCAAAGTACACTTTCGTATTTTCTCGTCAAGTTCAAGAAAGCCACTCTGCCATGGCATGTGAGATATGAGTCAATCAGCAAATATAAATTAAGCAAGAATGACCTGGTAACTTGCTCCCTGAACAATGTAGGTGTTATACTGAGGCCTTGTACACCCTACTGCTCTGAGTCATCACCGGGTTATATGAAATGTAGGAAACAGATCTCTATGCTATCAACAACGATGTGACAATCTCCCAACCAGGGCCTTGTCAAACTAAATGCATGATATATTTGTGTAGGCTGTAATGGGGTAGCCAATATGGGGTACAACCCCTTTAGGGTTAGATACTTGTACCCAACTCTCATTCAATGCATTCATTCCTGCTTCTAGATTCTAACATGGTTTCAGAGCAGTAGGTCCATAGCAGGGCTGAAGTTTCATTTTAAGCCCCCCTGATTTCGGGGAAAATTTTCCCCGTGGATTATGGGTGCACATTTTCCACAGGTAGGCTATTCTGATTGCTCAGTGTTGAAAAGTAGTTAACTCTGATTGCTCAGGGTCGAAGATTTCACGTTAATATAGAAACGCGCATTGTGTTTAACGGGGAAAAATTTTCGCTCCGCATGATCCCAACACAACGCGACATCATTTCGTGCACACCTTGTACGCGTTACTTTCCAACTTTTTATTTACGTACAATTGGTATTTCTCCACACGTTTTAGCGCGGGTATGAAACAAGCAGTTTCGGTCCACCAAACATTCGGTAAAATAGATGTGCAAATATTTTCCTATTCGCTGATTAACCGCGATTCGCCAACTTCATTGTGAACGCAAAAAATGTGCTGGTAACTTCACACACACGTAACTATAACAATACAACCGACATCTTCAGATTCTGTGAAACTAACATACGTAAAGTGTATTCACCTGTCAGACATGTTGCCGCGCGCTGCTCACGCTCTGGCTGTACTGCGAAAATTCTGAAAAACTTCTTTCCGATAAGGTCAAATTCAGAGTCCACATAACGAGTACTCTACATTGACAGAGTCAGTAAGAAAACCACTCTGAGCCTAGATACAATATTTCAGGGTTCGCTAAAGCACTATTCTGAATGGATCAGTGTTCACAAGTCAGAAATTCTGAAATTGCAGGGACCACCAAGTGAGAAGCCTGTAATCACCCTGAAATCAGGTACCCTGATAAAATCAGCCCTGGTCCGTAGGACCGTTTTTTTTTTTTTTTTCGGGCCCACCCTTTGCTAGTGACCGTCTGCGGTTACCGTGCTGCCCCACGCCCTGTTCTGCGTCGCGCCGCCCGCGCGCGCCCTGCCCTGCCTTGCCTTGCCGTGAGAGGCCCTAGAGCCCGTGCGCGGCCCCTGCCCTTGCCGTGCGCCACCTCAGAGCCCGCGCACCGCCCCTGCCTGCCCGTCGCGCCGCCCCAGAGCCTGCGCGCGGCCCCTGCCTCTATCGTGCGCCGCCCCAGAGCCTGCGCGCGGCCCCTTCCCCTACCGTGCGCCGCCCCAGAGCCCGCGCGCCCCTCCTGCCTACCCGTCGCGCCGCCCTAGAGCCCGCGCGCTGCCCCTGCCTTCCCGTCGCGCTGCCCCAGAGCCTGCGCGCAGCCCCTGCCCTTGCCGTGCGCCGGCCCAGAGCCCGCGCACGGCCCCTACCTTGCCGCGCGCCGCCCCAGAGCCCGCGCGCCACTCCTGCCTTCCCGTCGCGCTGCCCCAGAGCCTGCGCGCGGCCCCTGCCCTTGCCGTGCGCCGCCCCAGAGCCCGCGCACCCCTCTTGCCTGCCCGTCGCGTCGCCCTAGAGCCCGTGCGCTGCCCCTGCCTGCCCGTCGCGCCGCCCCAGAGCCTGCGCGCGGCCCCTGCCCTTGCCGTGCGCCGCCCCAGAGCCCGCGCGCCCCTCCTGCCTGCTCGTTGCGCCGCCCTAGAGCCCGCGTGTTGCCCATGCCTGCCCGTCACACCGCCCCAGAGCCTGCACGCGCCCCCCGCCCTCGCCGTGCCCCGCCCCAGAGCCCGCGCGCCGCCCCTGCCTGCCCGCCAGGTCGCTGTCGCGGCCCCGCCCTGCAGCAGCCGACGCGGCCCCGCCACGTCGCTGACGCGGCCCCGCCAGGTCGCGGTCGCGGCCCCGCCCTGCCGCCGACGCGGCCCCGCCCTGCCGCCGACGCGGCCCCGCCCGGCCCCGCCCTGCCGCCAACACGGCCCCGCCCTGCCGCCGACACGGCCCCGCCCTGCAGCAGCTACCATGGTCCTACCTTGCCGCTGTCGTGGCCCCAGCCCTGCAGCTGACGCGGCCCTACTCTGCAGCCGCTTTTGCGGCCCCGCCGTCGCCGCCGTCGTGCGCCTACCCTGCCGCTGCCAGCCGAGCGCCGGCCCTGCTCGCTCGGCGAGCGCCTGCCCTTCCCGCCACTGGTGAGCACCTGCCCTACCGCGCTTCCCGCGCGCCTTCCTTGTTAGTGCGCTGCCGCGCCATCTGCCTGCCTGCCTGCCTGCCTGTCAGCCTGCCTGCCTGTCTGCCTGCCTGCCTGCCTGTCTGCTTGCCTGCCTGCCGGCCTGCCTGCCTGCCCGCGCTGCTACTCCTGCTACTGCTGCTACTTCTGTTACCGCTGCTAGGCTGCTGCTGCTGCTACTGCTGCTACTACTGCTACTGCTGCTACTGGCGGTGGCCAGATGCAGCTCCAGCGACGTCCGCGCGAGTCTCTCACGCCCCAGCAGCTTAGTGAGTGGTACGCTAGTTGGGGTTGTGGCGGTAGCCGTCGTGGCTGTCGCCTTGGAGCTGGTAAGTCTGGAGCGTCTGGCAGTGGCCAACTGCAGCTGCAGCGGCGTCCGCGTGAGACACTTACGCCCCAGCAGCTTCATGAGTGGTACGCTCAGAGTAGAGGGTCTCGGAGTACCGTTCGCTGCCCGTACGTCATTCGCACAGGTGCTCGGGCTGGTCAGGCTTGCGGGACACTTGGTCACACACAGTCCCGCTGCTTCGCCAGTCTGAGCGACGCCTGGCGTACGGAGTTTGGCGACGCGGCTGAGCTCCCCACCTGGCTAGAGCTGCTTAGGCAGAGGGTAGATATCTTTGCTCGTGACAATGATGCTAATCTCACTGCCATGTATGCGTTGCCTACTAGTGCTGACGGTGCCTGTTACCTGTGCGTACCGCCTGACCCAGGTATAGAGCCTGCTGCTCCAGGTGTTGGTGAGTCTACTCTCTCTGGTACTGCGCCTGCTGAGGCCTTGTACACCTTCACGCTTGACTCAGGTGCTTCCCGCTCCTTCTTTCGCGACAGCACCACCCTCACGCCGCTCAGTCGGCCGGTTGCAGTCTCCCTGGCAGACCCCTCTGGGGGTCCAGTCCTTGCGCACTCCTCCACGGTCCTGCCGTGTCCGGCGGTCCCGTCTGGCTCCCTGTCAGGTCTTCACCTCCCCTCGTTCTCTACGAACTTGGTGAGTGGTGCTGACCTCCAGGACCAGTGGGTTGACCAGTTCACTCCTGGAGGTCAGCGCGTGACCCACTGTACGTGCTCCCGGACGGGCCGGCACCTGGCCACGTTTACCCGTGCGCCTGGCTCGAGTCTGTACAGATTGACTACTGTGTCCCCTCATGTCGCTGCATCTGCATATGCGTCTGCGTCAGGTCAGCTAGCGGCCCCCTGCTCGTGTCGCGCTTTGTCGCACCAGACCCTCCTTTGGCACCACCGTCTTGGTCACCCCTCCCTGCAGTGCCTTCGTAGCATGCACCGCCGGGTCCTCGTCTATGGTCTTCCCAGGGTTCTCCCTCCCCTCCCACCCTCGCCTGCTCCTCCCTGTCTTCCCTGTGTCAAGGGGCGGCAGCGCGCCGCTCCTCACTCCTCCTCGTTTCCCCTGACGTCTGCTCCCCTGCAGACCCTGCACATGGACGTGTGGGGCCCAGCCCACGTCACTGGACAGGGCCGCGAGCGATACTTTCTGCTGGTTGTCGACGACTACTCGCGTTACACCACGGTCTTCCCCTTGTACACCAAGGGTGAGGTCAATGATGTTTTGATCCCTTGGATCCGCACTGCCCGTCTCCAGCTCTGCGAGCGGTTCGGGACGGAGTTTCCCATCCTGCGTCTGCACTCTGACAGAGGTGGGGAGTTTTCCTCCGACCTTCTGCAGAGCTTTTGTCGTGGGGAGGGCATTCGCCAGACGTTCACGCTTCCGGCCTCTCCGCAGCAGAATGGGGTTGCTGAGCGCCGCATTGGCTTGGTCATGGAAGTCGCTCGTACCTCCATGGTCCATGCGGCTGCCCCCCGTTTTCGATGGCCGTTTGCGGTCCGCTACGCCGCCCATCAGCTCAACCTCTGGCCCCGTGTCTCCTTGCCGGAGACCTCGCCCACACTACTGTGGACGGGGGAGGTTGGCGATGCGTCGGTGTTCCGGGTCTGGGGTTCTCGTGCCTTTGTCCGCGATACCACCGTGGACAAGCTCTCCGCCCGCGCTGTTCCCTGTGTCTTCCTTGGCTTTGTCCCTGACGCGCCTGGTTGGCAGTTTTACCACCCCACCTCGCGCCGTGTCTTCCCCT